CATCTTCCACGGCATCACGGGGGGTAGTCAGCTCGGTCATTACAATGACCCTTTCCCTGATTATTGTGGTTTTTGCAGCAATCTTGTTCTCTTTCGCGGTTGTGCAAACCATTTGCCTCCTGTCCGACCGCATGAACCTTCCTGGCCACCCACTTCTTCGCCGCTATCGGATTCACCTTCGCGGCAGCCGCGGTCACATCATCCTCGACTCGGATGTGCTCGTTGATGCGTTGCATCAGCAGTTCCATGGTTGTTGGTTGACTCATAGTGAGCGAGTCTCACAATCTATATCTGAATGGGAGACTGCGCTTGTACTGGGTGATTTCCAGGTTGGTTGGGCAATCAAGAATCTTATTTAGGTTTCCCAGTACTTGGCGTTGTACGCCTTAAGCGAGTCACCCGATTCCATCTTTATGCCCAGAAGGTGGCCGATTTCTTTAGGTGTTTTGGTGTTGGTTTTGAATCGGGTCACGAACGCCTCCGCCAGCTGTTGCCACCTTTCGATACTTTCCTCCGGCAATCTCTCGAACCATTTCAAGCCCAACTCACCCAAACTTGACGGGAAAATAAGGCACATAAATGCGTCGTTTCGCCTGTAGCCAGCCATAACTTGCCAGAAGTGACTCACGTGCATGTATGGATCGATTTTTCCATCATAAAACATGAACTTGGACTGATAGAAGCCCGCAGGGAGCAGTGTGGTTTCTATCTCGAGGGAGAAAGGGGTAGCGTTTAGCCTTGCCAAGTCCCTGTCCAATGGCATTTGCGCAACTAGGCACGGCGGCAGCATCACAACCTCTTCATTGGCACGACCTTCGTGGGACAGCCGCTGCAATGCCAGCACCCTTTGCACCTTCCGTCGGCGCGCTTGCTCTTCTAGGACGTCCCTCAAGTCCTTCGAACGGGCGGAGTAAGAGTATCGCGACGTCGTCGACGGATGGGAGAGACGATAGCTGCTATCTCGTGCGTATGACTTATCCACCAGCAGGTCAGAATCACCAACTCCATAGCTTCTGGTGATGGAGAGGGAGGGCGTCCTCCACTGGTTCTGGTTGCCCAAATGGCGAGGTTGGGTGCACTCACTGTGGTTTGCCACCCCAACAACACCCTTCCCCTTGACTTGCCGTTTCAACGGCTCCATCTCCACTACCATCCTCCGAATGATGCATCTTGGTCTCTTAGTTTGTGCTCCAGGCGCTGAGCATGCAACTCTCTTCGCCACCGGTGCCCATTTAGACTCTGCAAGTTATCAGTGTTCCTTGTGCGCTTATCTCGTGCATCTTTGGAGAGCCCTCTTGAAGAAGCCTCCTGGCCCGCCATGGTTGGAATGACAGGTGGGTCATCTCTCCTCCGGACTGACTCTAGGGTGATGCCATTAACGACGGACAGCGGAGTTCCGTTGTTATGCACCATGAAAAAGTGATCGGAAAAGCTTGGAGGACAAAGTTTTGTCTGTCAAAGTTTCCCACAGACGGTGCCAATTGTACGGGGTGCAAATATTCGTCACTTTTTGTACTCTTTGTGTCCAAGCTTCAATTCTTTCCGAATAACTTGAGAACACAAAGACGGTGAGCTACCCGACAGTGTGTAGCCAGAAAACCCCTCCGAAGGTCAAGTTAGCACACTTAGAGAGAAAGAAGGAGAATGAGAGAGAGGAGACAAAAGGGTAAGTAGCTCTGATAACCAGAAATTCCAAACCAATGCATGGAGGCGCAGTACCATTTATATAGTTTTTGCGCACTCCTCTCTATCTGTCCTCCTTCTGACGTATAGATGTGTTCCCCTCTTACCTTCTTCCACGTGTAAGCACAAATACTGCCAAACACTAGATGGCCAAACCGCCTAACGGTATTGATATGTACGAACGGTGAAATCTCTTTCCTGCAATCCAAATACGCCACGTAACATCTCTTACCAAGCTATGCCAAGCACAGTGCCCTTGTGTTTCCTCAGGGCCGTGCTACTTGCCTAGTCCTATCGGACAAACCTGTGTGCGGGCTCAACCGAGCTCTACAGTCCGCAATGAGCTTTCGCTCGGTTGATCCTAGTCTTCTAAGGACAAATTCAGTCCAACTTAGCAAAACGTACATCTCTCGACCAGGCTAGCAACTTGTCCCTAACTTAACCGGGCTAAGACCTCGGTCCAGCACGTATCCAATATCTGACCGTGCTCAAACCTCGGTCGATCATGGGGCTTCGTTTTGTCCAGACAAAGACTTTGACTGAGGCCCAAACCAGCTCGGCCCATATCAGGTCATAAATCTCCCTCTCAATGGCAATCTTGGTATGGCCTAATTTGTGTAATTACTCGGAAATTATAAGCATTTATTATGTTCTAAAGATATTGAGAAATTATCTTATTACTTGAATCTTTGATTAACATAACTAAAGTGACACTCTGAAATTTCTCTAAGTATTAAGGTGTTTTAACAATTCTTTGACGTTTATAAAAATAAAAAAAGGAAGAATACTATTTTATGAAAAAATTGGTTTTTTTGCTAAATCAAAGAGACATTTTTGGCTAAATCAAAGAGGGAGTGTTGCACTATTCTGGTTTGATATTTTTGGTGTTACAATATTTATGTGATTAAAAGGACATTTGAATTAGTCTAAAACCCTTCAATTCGTCAATTTTAAATAAACTCCAACGTCTGTGAGTCTTAGTTAGGCTACCTACCTTGGTATTTTTGGATCCGGGAATCATACCCAAAATATTCAAAAAGAAATTTTAAAAAAAAATCTTAACCAAAGAAATTAAATAAAAAAAAAAAAGGCAGATTAGTCAAGGAGGAACAGATGATTGATGACTCTCATTTGAAGCAAATATATCAACTGAAAACAACACCAGATTGATATTGATTCTATGCCCAACAACCTTAAACTACAAGCCACACACACAATAAATAAATAAATAATAGAAAAAAAATAAATAAGAAGAAAAAGACGAATAAAATTCTCTAATATGTAGGTCGTTCATCATGTGTTGGATTGTAGGCTAAAGAAACTTGAGTCAAATTTGGCCAAGGAAAACATTCAAATTTCAAATTTCGTCGGCCTTATTTTTTCAAATTCGGCCAAGTTCAGCTGATTTTTGGTTGATTTTTGTTTCTAGCAACTGTCTTTTTCCACTGACAATGGAGTTGATGAAAGGCCTGAATCATGAGTCCGGATTCTCGGCCGCCCTTTCCGGCGGCCGTTCCATCAGCCCCCCAAAACGACGTCGTTTTGGGGGTTTTTTTGATTTTTTTTTTTTTTTCTTTCTTCTTCTTCGTTTTTTTGACAGAACCAGAGGAGGGGAGGGAGAGAGAGAGAGGGAGGGGAGGGGAAGGAGAGAGAGGAAGGGAGAAGAAGAGGGAGCACCGGACTGGAGGGGGCCTAAATCACCGGGGGAGGAGGAGGAGGAGGCGGAGGCGGGCCGGACGCGGAGGCGACGGCAGATCGGGCGACGATCGACGGCTGGCGAGCTCGACGACCTGCGACGGCGAGCTCGACGACCTAAAAAAAAAAAAAAAACGAAAAAACCCCCCAAAACGACGTCGTTTTGGGGGGCTGCTGGGAACTGCCGCCCAAAAAGGCGGCCGAGGATCCAAATTCCTGAATCATGTCTAGTTAGATTGTATTCATATCGTGTCCCCAATGTGGCATAGATGATACTAAAACAAATAACAAAGGTTTCGATTAAACTAGAAAAAACTCAAATTAAAAACAATATATATAACAGTAACAATTTACGAACATTCTGTGCATGTCAGCACATGCATTCAGGGAATTTTGTACTATTAAATAGATTGCAATTAATTATTATTTAACAATTAAAATTAAAGGTTGGTTGTGTCAAATTGTAAGTTCAACATTAATCTAACCAGTTTATTTTTTGTATTATCAGATGGTGACATTTTGAATTCAAGTTGGACGAACTTACTTTTTTAGTTAATTAGTCAAAAAGTTACTAAATTAGTCAAAAAACCAACAACTCATACCAAAAAGTCAAAGATTCTCTTTTCTCTCTACTTTTTGCACATCTTTTCGTAATTAGTCAAAAAGTCATTCCAAACATACAAATTTTTTTTACTTACTTTTTTAACCAAATAGTCAAAAAATTACTAAATTAGCCTGTTCCCAAATGAAGCCTAAGTAACCCACTAACTTCAACAATGATTTAGACCACTAAAAAATACATCACTAATAGCACTAATATATTGGGAATGGCAAAAAAAATAATAAAAAAATAAAAACAATGAAATTTGTTTGGTTTGATTATTTTTGAAAACTTATTTGTAGAGAAAATTTCCCAAAATTTTTTTAGAAAATCAAACCAAACGAGCCCACAAATTTTTTTTACTTACTTTTTTAACCAAATAGTCAAAAAATTACTAAATTAGCCTGTTCCCAAATGAAGCCTAAGTAACCCACTAAGTTCAACAATGATTTAGACCACTAAAAAATACATCACTAATAGCACTAATATATTGGGAATGACAAAAAAAATAATAAAAAAATAAAAACAATGCATAGAAAGTGGACGGGGCCCACTGTCACATCATTAGTGCTCCCTCTAGTGATCTCTTTTTAGTGCTCATTTTTCCACTAAGTTTATGTCAGTATGGAAAATTTTCAAATCCAGCCATAATATCCAAACTCGAGCCAAATTGAAGAACATTCGAGAGAAAGAGACCAGGCATGTGACTTCAAACCTCAGCTTGGACCCCCCATGAGATGTTATAGGATGGATTTACCTAATGGCACTACTACACCTACCAAATTTCTGGTTCAACAGTCGCTTTGAAGCCATCAATCACTCAATTTTATTGTCACGTTCATCTCTCATTTGACACACAATAATCATACAAAAAAAGGGAAACAAAAATTACAATAATACATCAAGATAATAAATTATGGGGAGTTCTTGTTCAAAAAAATAAAAATAAAAATAAAATAAGAATCCATGTGTGATCCATCTATTCCTCTGCAAAAGTTCATTGCTGACCGACCAAGAAAAGGAGAAAGAAAACTATAATGTATAACATTTAATAATATATCAGTCATTTTACAGGAACCAACTACAAAAACTAAGACGCTTTTGAACCTCACATACAATTTCCACTTTATTGACACTTACCAGTCACCTGGTACCATCACAAAGGCCTGGACTGGCATTCTTCACTATATACCTTATTTCTTTCCTACTACTGTAGAAATTTGTTCTCACAAAGCCCATACTTACAGGAAACGAGGCAGAAAACACAGAAAAAAGAAGGATAAAAACTGATACACCAAACAATCATTTTGAAGAAACTTCAGAAGCACAACTAGCAATAGGCAGATCACCGGGTGTGCATACCAGAGCCCTTTGTTGTAAATGTCTCAAACTCTGTTCCATGCTAACTTGTACCATCTCCGATAGCATCTGCTTAGCTTTCCCAGATTGATCCTTGTCTTCAATCTGCGATATTAGATTACATACTATATTCTCTAACGTGTCAGGCTCGAGCTCAGATCTCGGGTAAGGAGAGTTTCTCAATAACCGCAAGAGCGTTTGTGCTTTCGACTGGGACTTGGGTGTTCCTTGAACGGTGAGCTCAAGAAGCCCAGGGATCACACCTTCTTTAAGGATTGGCTCCCTATATTTACATCGGTCTGTCTGACACATTGTCAGAAGTGTCCCTACTGCGTGCTCACGGCTTTGAAGAGACCCACTTTCCAGAACTTCCACCACTGCAAGCACTCCACCTTCTTCAGATGTCAACGCTGTTCTGCCCTCATCAAAACCCACTAAAGATTCCATAAGAGCAGTACATTTTTCAGCTGTTTTTGAAGATTTTTTGCAGGTTTTGAGCAGGTCAACTAGAGGAGGAATGGGTTCTGCCTCTAGAATTAAGCTAAGATTATCCGAGTATGTTGAGAGGTTGTAAAGTGCGAGTACAGCATCAGCCTTGGATTGTGGACTCCCATGTCTTAGGATTTCTACAAGGAGGGGGATGGCACCAGAAGCACCAATGATTGGTTTGTTGACAGAGGAAGCGGACAACGTGAGTAGAGATGCAGTTGCGTGGTCCTGCAGATTTGAACTCCCCGGTTGAAGGAAACTGATGATTGGTTCTAGGGCACCAGCATTCACAATGCAAACCTTATTTCTGCAGATTATAAAGAGGATGGGAGAGAATTTTAGCAAATTTCATTATTCAAGTCTTCAACCAAACATATGATAATTATTTTGCACAAAATCAGCTAGTAGAACATAGGAAACCCGTTCTAATCACATTAACAAAACAATAAAAGGATGACAAAACAGGAAAAAGTACAAGTGACCTTTTCCTTAAAACTATTCATTGCCATGACCTGTGAAATGAGCCATGAGGTGTGCCCTATGAAAGACTCATAACCAAAAACAACAAATGAAATTGTTTAAGAGTGCGCCAAAGAAATTACTCCATTCTTTGGAGGTGTCCTGCCTTCGCTTGGCTACATTCAAGCTACACATTTAATATGGATTCAAACAGAAAACACAAATGCAGCTGCTCAAAAAGGAAGGTTCGAGCAAACAAATGCTATAAACTTTTTGAGGCCATCACAACCTCTTTTTCCCTGTCCTGAAACAAGCTAAGCTTAATCTAGTTATGCACCTCTGTTATCCATACAATGGACCAGAAAAGTGCAACAATAAGAAACCATTAACCATTACAATTGTATTAGGACCTGAATTTATTACCTATTCTTCACAAAACTTTCCTCTATTTATTTATGAGAAAAAGGGGCGTACACCGACATGGGCGGCACTTCACAGCTTCAGTTCTTTTTCGAACCATGAGCTTGCCAGGGTTGGAAGACAAAACATCCAATAACTAGAGAAATATCACTCTTTCTGTTGATAACTGGTAAGCTTTAAAAGATAATAATGTGACGATATCAATTGACAGTTTTAGTTTCATCATATTGCTTGCTTCTGCATACTTTTTTACATTATACGCAACTATTTTTAACTATAATTTTTAGTAAAAAAGAAAAAAGAGAGAACGGAGATTATTAGAATTTTTTCTTGTGCAAGAGAATCATATGATAGCTTCAAACATAAGTTAAAAGAAAGAAGAAGAAAAAGGACGATAACAAGACAAAAAGAAAGAGCGACCATGTGAAGAAAAGAACAACCCCACCTCCAAACCTAACCAGTCTGCAAGAGAAAGCATCCGATGCTGTAGTATGAATTGCAAGCATTGGGCACAAAATATGCCTCCGAAATACCAAACTTTAAATATGTATGTATTTTAGAATCCAAAGCTTAACCAATTACCAACCCATTTTGACTAAAACAAAACCCATTTTACAAAATCAACAGTGTAGTTTTGATTCTATTCCTACCTTCTTCAACAGACCAAAACTATTGCCAATATTCTAAGCAATAATTATTAATCAATGAAAATTCTGATCAATTTGATTCATGTAGTGATGGTTATCCAGACTCTGTTTGGTTGCATAGAAAATGGGGGGAAAGGGGGGGGGGGGGATTAGGGACCAAACCAAACAGCAAAAAGCTAGTCTCAGTTGATCACATAATCATCATTGGTTTTACAAGAAGTCAGTTTAAAAGTTCTTGGGAACATAACAAACACAAAAACATAAGATTCATAATTCAATTTTCAAAATTTCTTTTCCTTCTAATTACTTTCCTTCACACCAAGCAGGGAAAAAAACAGAAAGAAAAAGAAAAGAAAAGAAAAAGAATAAGAATAAAAGAAAAAGGTATCAATCAACAAACAAACACAGTAGTATAATCCTGAAAAAGGAAATTAAGAAAAAAAGATGAAAAAGCGAGAAAAGTAAAAGCAAACTCATAGCAACATCGGAAGCTAAGCATCAATCAAAGCCCCCAAAAAATTAAAATTTCCAGTAAATTGGACAAACTCACGAGTAGTAATTGATTAATTATTTACTTACGTTTCGTCTTTGACGGCGAGGTTGAGGAGAGCGAGGAGGGCGGCCTCGGTGGCGGAGGGGGAGGAGGAGCGGAGCATGAGGACAAGAGGGGGGACGGCGGAGGAGAAGTGGCGGCGGAAGCGGTGGGAGGTCTTGGTGAGGCGGCGGATCTCTTGGGCGGCGTGGATTTGGGAAGAAGGGTCGTCGGAATGGATGAGGAGGAGGGTTTGGTCTACGGCGGAGATTGTTCTTGGGGTCTCTTCCCCATCTGGGTGAGTGCTCTCCGACTCCATCTGCTAGCGCCGTACGTCTCTCTCTCTCTCTCTCTCTGTATGTATGTATGTATGTATTCTTCACTACAAAAATTGAAAGAGATATTGAGAGAGAAAAATATCTGAAGTGGGGGGGGCGTTGTTGTTGTTATAAAGTGAAGAAGAAATGTCGAGTGGGCGGTTGAGAAACGTAAGGTGGAGAGGAGAGGGGAGGAAACGTGAGGGCGAGTGCCGTGGCGTCAAGCAACAGTTAAAAAATGATCAAGCCGTGACTCTGCTTTTCAACTGCCTGCTTTCTCTCTCCACTCGGACACTTAAAAAATTAATTTTTGGGGGTTTGGTTGAGCAAAAAAGGTCCTCTCCTCAATTTCAGAGAACTTGCTATAAATGAGACTCTTTTTTTTTTTTTTCAATTATTTAAAAAATGTCAATTAATATTGTTTCACTTTTATACTATAATTTATTTTTATGATAATATATGTATCAATTAATATATTGATTAATGTATTAATATATATTATAATATTATTATTTTAAAATTATGATCTCACTTATTATATAAATTATAAAAATTCAAAATTTTTAAAATTATGTTATATTATCTTTTAATACATTAAATAATATACCAATTTAATACATATAATATTATTCATATTTTTTTACTTGATAATTGATTAAGAGCCCAATGTAAAAGTTTTACATGATATTTAAAAATATTGAACAATTATCTCACATAACCTTGTGTATATAGTAGAATTAAAATTTTATGAAATAATTCACTTTTATAATGATTTTGTAATAAGAAAGATTATGGCACATATTTTTAGAGAGTATGTACTATATGTGTCATTTTGGAAATATAGTAAAAAGTCACGTTTTTAGACAAAATGTCCAAAAATGTGGTTGCCAAAAACGCAACAAAATCCCTTTGAAAAGTGTCAAAAACGCAGCCCTAAAATTACAAATTAGGGCCTATGAAAAAAATATAAAAAAATAAATCTCTTATGTTGGGTAAGAGTATTTTGATTATTTTAATTTGATTTGACACCATAAATAAATATTAAACTAAAAAACAAAAAGTCAGTTTTTTACCAACTTTCTAAATCACTTCCAAAAAAGCCAAAAAACTTGATAAAAAGCCAAAAGTCAGCTTTTTACCAACTTTCCAAAACAACCCTATGTAGCTTATAATTAAAAGAAAAAAAATGACATAATTTTACACTTTTTGAGTCATAACCTTAAAAAAAAATTAAAAAAAAAAGAAGCTATAACTAAACACTAAATGGAAATATAACAAAAATTTTAAAATAATGTCATACTTAAAGAAAAAAATTGATCATAATTAAAAATATATATTATATAATTAAAGATATATATAATAAAATGCGTATATTGCAGAATTTTCTTTTTGTAATAGTGGGTTAAAAACTTAAAACACCATTGTTGCAGAGGATCATAGTCTACAATGGGAAAATTATCGGTAAAATTTTCCTTTTACATGAAAATTAAAAGCAAGAGTAGTACATGTTTCATATATTTTTTACCCCTCATAGAAACAATTTTTTAAGAAACGGCAATAAATTGGATTAGTGTGGGGGTGGGATTGGATTTGTAGTGTCCAGTGAAGTGACTAGAAAAATTGTAATTAAGTCTATTTTTACTTGTAATATTAGCACTTGATATATGTAATGTATGTATAATTTAAATAAATAAAAATAAAATATTTATCATATACGTGTATGTCATTCAAATAGTGAAAGTCTTTCTTAATAGATCCAAGGTTTAAAATTTAAGTTTCACCTCTCTCATTTATCTATTTTTTTAAAAATAAAAAAAAAATGAGGAATACATGCAATAAAGAGAAATAAACAAATACTTAGACACCAAGTTTGGTTTTCACTTAATATAATATTATAAATAACATAAATTTTATAAAATGAAAGTGTGGGGGACAATTTTTTTTGAATGCCTCGTTAATGGACTTGTGAATGGTAGTCCACAATGGGCCGCTAAGGTCCCAAAAACGTAAAAGGTTTGATAATTTGAGACAAACAAGTCTGCCAAATTTCAATCTTACTTTTGACTATATGGGCATGTTTATAAAGTTAAAAATATATATATATATATATATATATTAAAAAAGTTTAAAAAATTTAAATAACTATACAAAAAGATTAAATATTTTCTTTTTTTTATACTTATTTGTTTTTTTCTTTTTTGTTAAAAAGTCAAGAAATATCTTAAATATATTAATTTTTTAAACTCCATATTTTAGTCAAAAAAATATAAAAATAAAAACATTACTAAACAAACACCTATTTCCAAAACCAACTCGGAATTGTTCAGGGAAATGGAAACAATGAGTAGTCTAGTTGGTTAGTAGTATTTCCAAACATGTTCAATTTAAGTTCGACTTTTGTTAACCTTTGTTGTTTGCTTGGATCATTCGATTTGAAAGTATTACTTGATATTTAAGTGTACACTCTTGGGATGAATTTAAAACAGTGACGTTCTCAATTAAAATAAAATAAAATAAACTAGCGAAATGTAAAATGCACTAACTCATCTGAGAATTGTTCTCAAGTTTGTTTGTTTGGTTGATTGTTTTTTTGTGTTTTTTGTGTTTTTTTTTTTTTGTGGGAATTTTTTGTTTTTGTTTATATATATTTTTAACTTTTCCGAAATGGTTGCTTGCTTACATTATTAAAAAAGCACCTGTTGGGGGAAGAGGCAGAGCCTAATTTTAATAGGGTTTAGTACTTGTACTATTCTATAGTAGCCAAATAGCATTTTAGACCATCTCCAACGGTTCATCAAACTTGATATCAAATTCAAAATTTGATGAAAAAACTACTTTTTTGAGCTCTAACGGTTTCACCAAATCGATATCAAATCTAGAATTCAGCAAATTTGGTACCAAAATGAGAACAGGCAAAGCATTTTACCAAATCACTGTTCCTAACCGTTGGGAGAGACCAACCGGTCAATCAGCCGGTTGCCCGGCCGGTTGACCAACCGGTCGACCGCCTAAAGGTTCAAACGGTTCGAAGAAAAAGGTTCAACAGTAAAAAAAAAAATAAATAAATAAATTTTTTGCCTAACCGGTCGACCAGCCGGTCGACCACTAAAAGGTTCAAAAAGTTCAAAAAAAATCAAAAAAAAATTTAAAAAAAAAAAAAATTTTTTTGCTTAACCAGTCGACCAACCGGTTGTCCCCGACACAAATTTGATGAAAGTGCACCGTTGGAGCGAGTGGTATCAAATTGGTAAAATGGGTCATTTTTTACTCAAATTTAATGAAAAATCTGATTCACCATTGGAAATACTCTTAGATGCCTGAATTAATTTAAATAAAATTGGAAAGGTCTTTTCAATTTGAATCAGCTGATCAATGTGATTCAAATGTCCTCTGCAAACCCCCATATTATTGGTGGAAAGTACAAAGAAAGTGGGCCTTCTTACATCACAAGTTTTGCTTGCGTGAGCTATTTAAAAAATATATATAATGGACCCGTTTGAGAAGTGATTATTTTGAAAATTTTTTAATTTTTTAATTATTTTAGTAGGTTATTTTAGTTTTTGAATTTAAAAAGATGAGATGAATTTTTATTTGAGTTGTTGTATTGAAAAATGTGTCGAAATGATATTTGAAGTTAAAATGACAAATTTATCCTTAAGATTACAATTTTTTAAATTGATATAAAAGGGCAAAATCGTAATTTACCAGTTGATGTAACAATTTGTCAATTGACAGTGTAGGCTATGCCTACACTGCCGGCAGCTGCAGCCTTTTTTTTTTTTTTGAAAAACTTTGAACAATGGAACTTTTTGACTTATTTATAATTTGAGACTATAATAGCCCCAACCTTTTCTTCCCAAACAGCGCCAATAATTCCTTTCTAGGCCTTTTAAGTGATTTTCCACGAAGGCTCTCCATACTCATGATGCTAAACATATTTTTTTGTTTATTTTACTTTGATATCTTTATCACCCTTCTTTTTCTTTTCATTTTCTTCTCTAAGGTTGGTGGGGTTGTTGGTTTAGAAGGATAGTTTTCATTTGTGCTTGTTTGGAAGTGTATTTGTGGAGAGAAAAAGCAAATGAACAGGAATAGGGTAGTGTATGAGACTCTCATTATTACATAATTTAAGAAGATCAGATATAAGTAGTTTTATCCTTATATACAAAGTGAGTGATTCAACATTCATGTTGTAATAAAGTAATTTTATTCTGTGTCAAAACTTATCCTAGTGTAAGAAGAAGAAAAAAACAAAAAAACTTATACTTCATTGCTTTCTTTTTTGAAAATCTAGAATTCAAGTACAATCAATGTCTTAATAATTTAATGATCCATAAACAATCCATGTGTACTAATAGTTTGATTTCTTTGTTATCTAGGGAAGATCTAGTTAGTTCAAAATAAATTGGCAACAAATTCATCATATAATATAATGGGCAAGTGAAGATGATGATGAATGGGCGTAGCCAATGTGGGATGTTGGAATGGGCCAAGCATTAAAGCATCAGATGTCACAATCCATAAATAGGACAGCCCAATACCATCCACCACCAGCGCTGCTTTGTCACAAATCTTGAATGTTAGCTTAGATCAGGGGCACATGGTCTTGGAACAAAGAACCCACCTCTTGATCACAAAGCCCTAAACAGAAAAGACCGTTCTTATGATAATGATGGTGATTATCTCGACAATTTGGAGAGGGAAAAAAAACAAAAATCATTAACCGAATTATAAATCATATGTCAACCAATTCGCTTATTTTTATCATATAACTTATTCAATTAATTCCACTCATCTAATCGCACGCATTGATTTGAGTCCTTGCGAATTTGATGAGTTTGTGGTATTGATTTGAGTCCCTATACCCTAATAATCACTCAGTACATCCAAGTAAAAGTTTGAAATTTTCATTCTTATTATACTTTAATACAAATTTACTTATAAAGACAATACACTGCAAATCCTAAAATTTTTTTCTCGTGATACACTCTAATTAGTTATATATATTCATCATATTCAAGTATATTTATCTTTTTCTTCATTCTAAAACTCCAATCCACTCTATTAAAACTCACCATTATCATCAATATCATTATTTCTTATTATGTTATTACTTGTAAATAGATTTTTTTTTTTGAATAAAATCAAATAATAAGTGAATATTTTTTGAAGTAATAAAATAGAAACCTATTGTTGATTCTGATCACAGCTCTTCGGATTATTATGA